GACAAATTATATTGTGTGCATGTATGAATATGCAGGAACTAATCCCATTATTAGGTACAACTATAATATACCAATAAAAAAAATGTACAAAGAGGTGGGCACAGTGGATCCCACCTGTAAAGGAGACTGAAGCAAGAGGATCACAAGTTCAAAACCAGCCTCAGCAACTTAGAGAGGTCCTAAGCAACTTCGTGAGACCTTTGGCTAAGGGCTTCAGGGTTCAATCCCTGTTACAAAAAAGAAAGAAAGAAAGAAAAAAACATGTTTAGGAAGGGGATGTATCTCAATGGTGGAGCACCCTTGTCCCTGAATTCTATTCCCAAAAGCAGGGTTGGGAGGAACCCAGAGCCTCCTGCATAATAGGCAAACCTTCTACCACTGAAAAAAAAATATATTTTAGCTTAAAAAGTGCAAAAGGAGGGCTGGGGATGTGGCTTAAGCGGTAGCGCGCTCGCCTGGCATGCATGCGGCCAGGGTTCGATCCTCAGCACCACATACAAACAAAGATGTTGTGTCCACCGAGAACTAAAACTCTCTGTGTCTCTCTCTTAAAAAAAAAAAAAAAAAAAAAAAAGTGCAAAAGGAAGGTCTGTCATCCTGTCTAAAGTGGACAAATATAAATAGGTTTGAGGGCAAAAGGCACATTCAATTTCTTATTACAACCTCACAAATACATACAATTATGTGACATTCGAAAACATTTAATATTTCTCTTTACATAAATAATATAAAAGGAATGATTCGTCGTATAGTGACATAAAAATAAATTTAAAGGAAGTCATTAGGAGAACTAAAAACAAGGTTTTTGCCTTAAAAACCACTATATAAAATAAAAGCAAATGTGGGGAAAAAATTTAAAACAACAAGAAATAAAAATTACAAAATAGAATGAGCAAACACATCAGCTATCGCAGCAGAAATATAATGGGTTAAATCCCAGCCAGAGTGGAGGAGCTGCGGTTTTTACCTCAGACCATGTGCCTCCAGGCTTTGCTAGTGCCTGACCCTAGGTCTAACTTGTTTCGTCACACTTAAGCGAGGCTAAGGCCACAATTCAAGGCTGACTCCTTACTCCCAGCAGTCCTCCCAAGTCATCGAGCACTCCCCGCAGTGAAGGAAGCTGGCTTTCTGGGTCAGGGATGAAGTCCCTGCCACTGCTCCTCACTCAGGGATGCAACACAGGGACTTGGGCCCGGCCTTACACCAGGGAGGGACCCCGCACAAGGTGAAAGCGCTCAAACCCTGCCTGTATGTAATGCATGTTTTTCCTCATTGCACCTTTGAGACCGTGAGCCTTCTCAAGCAGCAAGTTTCAAATCCTCTGGGTTTGCAGGCTGACGTAGTTACTGGCCCTCGAGCTTCCCACGATCCTGCCTGTGGTCCCCGTGACCTGGCGGGAGGCTGGGTCGGATACACCCGCAATGGCTCGTTGAGCCCCAACCACGCAGTCTTTCAAGGTCTAAATGCGTCCGCTTGGAGGCCGCCTCCCCAAAGCCAGAGAGGAATGGGAGTTTGGGGCTCGGAATTGGGATCCCTTTTTCGAAACTAGAGGGGCTCATCTCCCATAGCAAAATCTTAGATTCAAGGACGGCGCAGTCCCACAGGATTTGTTAGGAGAGACTGGGGCACTAAGTCCAAGGACTTGAGAGGACAGGTGACAAATGACAAACCGAGGGACTATTAAGCATCCTGCAGCTGGTGAGACGGAGGGATCCCACGTGCGGGCGGAGACACAGAGACTAAGGGGTTAAATCACCGTGCCCCGCCCCAGCTCGGGGATTGGTGGCCCCGGGGGGCGTGGCCGGGGGCGGGCCCGCGTTTGCCGCAGCCGCTGGTGGGCGGGGCCCGGGCGGAGAGCGGGAGGGGCGCGAAGCCGAGTCGGGCCCGCGCCGCGCGCCCTGCCGGGCGGGCTTCGGGCTGCGCCAGCTAGCCGGGCCCGTGGCGCCCGCGTCGGAGACCCTACACCGAACCCTGGGGCAGCGAGTAAGTGAGGCAGGCCCACCGCGTCGCCCCTCTCGGCTCCAACCCGCCGCCGTGCCTGCTGCACGGCTCGGCGCGTCTGTCCCGACTGGGAGCTGGGGAGGGGTCGCGTCCCGCTGCTAGGGTCCCTGGGGCGGGGGAGGGGAAATGTAGAGGAGGCCAATGATGTCATGGATGCTTCGCCCGGCCTGGGGGGGGATGGCGGCCGGAGGGGGTGCGGTCCGGATTATGTCACCTCTTCCCTCTGCGCCCCGCCCCCCAGGGCCACACGCGTTGGTGGGTAGCCCTAGGAGGTGCGGGCGGGATTTTCCCCACAGCAGAGACCCCCTGGGCACCCCTGCGGATGGCCTGTGGCTGGGGTCTCTATCTGTTGGCGCTGTGCGCTGTGGGCTGCTGGTGAATGGCGACCCCCACCCCCAGTGGAGGCTCGTGTGTGCCCGCGTGTGTGAGCTCCGGGTATGTGTGGGGGTGTGCTGTCGGTCCCCCCAGTCCTGAAACATGGGCTTCAACAGAGCCAGGATAGTGTCCATGCCTCCAAGGGAAAATGGATCTCCCCTCACACATCCCACCAAGAAGTTCTGGAGATCTCTGTACCCCCAGAGCCCTACAGTGCCCCTGGATCCCTTTCCTCCCTCAGTCCTTCTTCCTGGAAGCCCTTCCTGGTTTCTCTGCCTGTGTTCATTACCTATTTGCATTGCTCATAACTAGCGTTCCCATAGGCATTCACCCTGCATTTTCTTGGTGCCAGGGCCCAGCAACCCTGAGGACTCTTTCATTTTTGTCCTGGGGTGTCCTGAGCTAAGTGCTCCAAGACCCCTGAGATATATCAGGGATGCTGTATTGACAGCATTTGGACTGATTCTAGAAGGCTATAGGATGAGCACAGAGAGCTGAGGTTGTATGTGGAGTGGAGAGGAGCTCAGGTCAAGGAAGATAAAGGATGGGCATCAGGAGGGACCTTGGGGACACTGCTGCAAGCTCTGCTTGATTCTGGGAACCAAGAGGAATATCAAGCAATTTGCCCTTAATACATTTGCTTCTTAAAATTCCTGCAAGGTAAATGTGAGAATCTGAGGTGAAACAACCTACATTTGGTTCCACTCCAATCAGTCGAGCTGTGATTTACACTTGGAGCTGATGGAGCCAGAACTCCATCTTCTACACTTGACCCAGCTCATGGAAGGATTTGGGCAGAATAAGAACATGAATGGCTTTGCCCTTTAGAAAGAGTCTCTTGGCTGCAGCTCAAGAAGGGAGTGCAGAAGAAGGGCCACTGAGGAGACTCAGCAAAGGTGCTGGCAGGAGGTGCTGCTGAGATCTTTAGTGGGTGGACTGAGTTGGACTTGGGGACCTCTGGGACTTCAAGTGTTCTAGCTTTGGGGGAATACAGGTGGTGAAGAGCGAGGTGGTTTCTATGGATTGGAGAGACTTTCATGTGTAACCCGTAGGTCCCTCTGTGACCACTTAAACTGTAATGTCACACGCATTGAGTATTAATAAGACAGAGATAGAGGCAGGAAGAAACAAGGCTGTCGTGGTTCGATGACATGGTTCGATGCCATGAAGCTTTCTTTTCAGATCGCACTGTTACCTGGGCCAGTGCAAGACCCTGACCCACAAAGGAAGCACAACCCTTCCTCTCAGCTTAATTCCTTCTTAGCAGTAAAAAATATCCCAACTCCTTGTCCTTCCAGCTCCCTGTCAGGTTTTTGAGGAAAGTACCAGCAGCAGTCTAATCTTGGGAGAGGAAAGCGGGGCAGGGAACACTTGCAAGAGGTTGACCATGACAGAGTAGAATTATGGCAAGAAGCTCTTTGGGCTCCAGAGAGAGCTTCTGTAGAATGACAATCAAGCATTCCCCAGGTACAGCTCAAGGAAAGAAGGTTCAGGACAGTGTCATTTCTATCCAGAGCTCTGGGCATGTGAACCCAGTGGGAAATAACACACAGTCTAGAGAAAGAGTGGGGCAGATTGGCATATGACCAACTCAAATTTATGGTCAGATTATTTTTTCCTGGATCTCAAAGACGGTGGTTTTGCATGTTTGTGCTGTACCTTACTGTTTAGAAAGTACCTTCCCAAGCATTAGCCCTGTCACTCACAATCAACATTATCATGTCTGAGATTTCTTCTTATTCATCCCTGACTTCTGATGCAGCCCCCTTGCTAGCTCCCTACCTAGATTTTTAGTTTTACTAATGGTGCCTTTCTTTGGCATATCAGCACACTCAAGTTTCTATCATATTTAATTTTAAAATTAAAAAAGAAAACAAACATTGAGATTCCAAAACTCCTTAAATAATGGTGTTCTCTGGCCTCTGTTAGCAGGGAATTCTGCCATTTCATCTCTCTGCACCCCTCCACCCCTGTGGTCTGCTTTTCCCTTGTACAACTTTTCTGAAGCCATTCTTACTCACACACACCAGTGATATCTTCAACTGCCAAATCCAGGGCACACTCTGTAATCCCAATTTTTACCTGTCCCTTTTCTTTTTAACCCTGAGAGCTGCCCCCACATCCCACATTCTGTTTTTCTTTCTTTTTTGAGATGGAGTCTCGCTATGTCACCAAAACTAAGACTGGTATTAAACTCCTGGGCTCAAGTGATCCTCTTGAGTAGCTGCGACTGTAGGTGTACACCACTGCATCTAGCTTGGCCCCACGTTCTTGAGTCCCCCGTCTTGGCCTTCAGGGCYCAGCTTCTCCTAGATGCCTTCTAGCTCCCACACTGTCACCCAGACTTATGGGGCTCTTCTGCCTTAGTTGGAGGCTGGGCCCACCCACACCGCCCTTGTATGCTGAAGATTCGAGTCTTTCACTCCACTCAGTGCATGAGAATTATTTCTCTGGTCTTCTCAAAAAGACTTATTTCAGGGCCAGGGTTGTGGCTCAGTGGTAAAGCATGCACCTAGCTCAGGTGAAGCACTGGGTTCAATCCTCAGCACCACTTAAAACAAAATAAATAATAAATGTATTGTATTCACCTACAACTATATACACACACACACACACACACATATGCACACACACACACACACACATACTTTTTAAAATTTATTTTTGAGAACTATTTCTCTCAAGCAATTTCCCCATTATGTTAAGGGTGTCCCACCCACCCTTATGCTTCAGCTCAGATTCTTTCCTTGTTTTTACCCCCCTGGTGCCCCAACCCAGACATTTTCCTTGTCCCTACTACCTGAAACCCAGCTGTATGAGGCTTTCCCAGTTTCTCTTCTCCAAACCCTGCCTAGGCCTTCCCACTGGTTTCAAGCTTCAGGCCATTCAGCAACCATCCTCCCAATTCTAGCTGCTTCCTATACTTCACCGAGGGATGTTGAGAGAAGGGGGCCATGTTTAGGGTAGGAGGGGTTTCAAAGCCAAGGAGTAGCAGCCAGGATGGAGTATGCTGGGGAGTGGAGGCAGATACTAGGGTGAGGCAAAAGAGGCCTCACTCTCAGGGTTGTGGGTGTACCTGCACGTCCTGCACTTCACTTGTGCCCTATATGCCTCTCTTGCCCAGCTTAGTGCCACTGCTGGTTATGGGGATAGACTTGCAGAAGGGATGAGGGTGGTGAAAATTTGCTGTTCTCCACACCTGTGGGGAAAGACTGAGAGAATGGAATGCTACATTCCATTTAATAGACCAGTTTGGCTGTGAACTTACCCACCATCTAAGGCTGATATGGCCTGAAGATCCTGAAGAGCAAGGGTTTTACCAGGCTTCCTTGTTTGGGAACATTAACACTGGACATCATTAGAAGACAGTCTACAGAACACTYAAAGGGAGGTTGGATTCCTTCACTTAATAGAGAAGGAGGGCTTCCTGCCCAGTTTCTGGTGGAACCTGGGTGGGGGCAGGAGGTTTAAAGGCCTGAAAGGCACTAGAGTTTGAGCCATCTTGAGCCATCTAGCCAGCTGCTAGCACCCTAGTGCCCCTGTCCAGCTGGATTATGTAGATCTCTGTGACAGGTGTTCCCAGGTGCAGACTTGAGACAAAGGAACCAGGAAATCAGGCCTGCCTGAGCTCAGGTAATCTGAGGCCCTGCTCCCCCTCTTTCTGCCGGCCTGCCTTGGGGGAGGGGGCGCACATCCACAGAATTGACTTCATGGTGAACTGAACAGGATCAAAGTCCACAGGGAGCGGGGGAGGGGGCAATCCAGGAAGTCTTCCTGGTGGCAGTGCATTCTTGGCAGGGTTCAGCAGGTGCAGGATCCTCTGGAGCACCGTGGAGTGCAAAGGCCGCCCCCCACCCCACCTGTGGGAGATGTAGGCCCCGAGGGAGGCTCGGCCAGCGTCAGAAGCCGGCAGCACTGCCTTCCAGTCCTGGCCTCTCAGCTTGGGGGCCTCTGTAGTACTGACGTCGGGGAGGGGGTCCCTTTCGGGCCAGGACCGCTACAGAGGAATTGGGAAGACCTCCCTTGCCACCTGCTGCAGCTTCGGCCTGCATTCGGTCAGTCTGGTCTGCGTGCCCATGGCGCCGCCCACCCGCGACGCCCGYGCATCCTGCAGGGGCAGCTCCGCCCACCCAGCCTGGTGACCGGGTTCCTTCCCGTGCACGCAGCCTCGGGGCACCTGCCTAGCGGCAGCTCCGCGAGGTAGGTTCTTCATTCCTCCCATTTCGCAGAGGATGGCTCAGTCGGCCCGTCCAAAGTCGCGCAGCTGGTTCGGGCCGAGCCCCGACTGCGAGAGTCAGCCACATGGCCCCTGCAGACCGGGCCTCGGAGGGTCCCAGGCTTGAGGACCCATCGGCCCCCCACTCCCTTGGAAAGGCAAGGAGAGGAGCCTGCGCTGGTAGTGAGCTTCCACTTCCGCCCTTGACTACAGCATCTTAGGGTAGGGGGCTGGGAAAGACCATTGCCTTCAATTTTTTAATAGAATTATTGTGTCTCTGGCCCTCCCCTAACTTCTGAGGTTCCCTAATGGATTCAGGTACTTCTCTCCCAACCCCATTTCCCTAGCCACTGAGGCTGAGATGTAGAGGCCCTGACCCAGGGTAAAGAACTAAATTCTGGGAGTTGCAGCAAAGAGAGGTTCATGAGTCTGGGAGGCTTATGGCTGAGGTGGGTTTGAAGCACAGGTTGAGGAGTGGAGTGCCCTGGGGCAACAGGCAGCCCCCATTACCAAGCTATTACTCTTACTCATTCCTATTCCTTCACTTTGAATGTCTGGGAACTCTTCTACATTAGGAAAGGGGACACTGAGGGGCAGGGTGGTGCTGGGGTTGATTTGGCTGGGGTGGTGGGAATAGGGGTGGGGTCTGACCTCTCTACCTTCCCGTCTGTGCCCACAGTGCCCTCCTGGCTTAGTCATGGCGAAGCTCGAGACACTGCCCGTGCGTGCTGACCCAGGGCGGGATCCCCTCCTGGCCTTTGCCCCACGGCCCTCTGAGCTTGGACCCCCAGACCCCCGCCTGGCCATGGGCAGTGTGGGCAGTGGGGTGGCCCATGCCCAAGAGTTCGCCATGAAGAGCGTGGGCACCCGCACAGGGGGTGGGGGCAACCAGGGCAGTTTCCCAGGCCCCCGAGGCAGTGGCAGTGGGACCAGCAGGGAGAGGCCAGGCCGATACCCCTCAGAGGACAAGGCTCTTGCCAACTCCCTCTACCTCAACGGCGAGCTGCGGGGCAGTGACCACACAGATGTCTGCGGCAATGTGGTGGGTAGCAGCGGTGGCAGCAGCAGCAGCGGTGGCAGTGACAAGGCTCCACCACAGTATCGTGAGCCCAGCCACCCACCCAAGCTCCTGGCCACCTCTGGCAAGCTAGACCAGGTCAGTCTCTAGGGCCTGAGACTGTCACAACCTTTTTCTGGGGTGGGAAGTAACTCAAAAAGATGGGCAAGAGGGCTTTCTTGGAGGTTGGATCATAGGGGCCAGGAGGCAAGCTGGACCAAAGAGCTATGGAGTGGGGCCCTGAGGCCAAGACCAGCTGGGGGATCCAGGACAGGGACCTGGCTTGGGGGAGATACCAAGTAGAAACCCACAGGGGAGGATGTAGGGTTGAACAAGGCTCAGCCAAAGGGAAGAAGCTGAGCCAAGGTCAAGGACTCATTCTGATGCTCACTGCTCTTCCTTGCTTTTGCACAGTGCTCAGAACCACTAGTTCGGCCATCAGCCTTCAAGCCTGTTGTACCCAAGAATTTCCATTCCATGCAGAACTTGTGTCCCCCGCAGACCAATGGGACCCCTGAGGGACGACAGGGCCCTGGTGGCCTCAAGGGTGGACTGGAAAAGTCTCGGACCATGACCCCAGCAGGCGGAAGTGGGGGTGGCCTCTCAGACTCAGGCCGGAACTCACTCACAAGCTTGCCCACCTACAGCTCCAGCTACAGCCAGCACCTGGCGCCCCTCAGTGCTTCCACCAGTCACATCAACCGCATCGGCACTGCCAGCTATGGCAGTGGCAGCAGTGGTGGGGGCTCAGGCTACCAGGACCTGGGGACTTCTGACAGTGGGCGGGCCTCCAGCAAGAGTGGGTCATCATCATCCATGGGGCGGCCAAGCCACCTGGGATCTGGGGAGGGTGGAGGTGGAGGCCTGCCATTTGCAGCCTGCTCACCACCCTCGCCCAGTGCACTGATCCAGGAGCTGGAGGAGCGGCTATGGGAGAAGGAGCAGGAGGTGGCAGCTCTGCGGCGCAGTCTGGAGCAGAGCGAGGCAGCTGTGGCCCAGGTGCTGGAGGAACGGCAGAAGGCATGGGAGCGAGAGCTAGCCGAGCTTCGGCAGGGCTGCAGCGGGAAGCTGCAGCAGGTGGCCCGCCGTGCCCAGCGAGCCCAGCAGGGACTACAGCTGCAAGTGCTGCGGCTGCAGCAGGACAAGAAGCAACTTCAGGAAGAGGCGGCCCGGCTGATGCGGCAGCGGGAAGAGCTAGAGGACAAGGTGGCCGCCTGCCAGAAGGAGCAGGCCGACTTCCTGCCCCGGATGGAGGAAACTAAGTGGGAGGTGCGGGCTGGGGGCTCTGTCCTTTCCCCTCTGTTTCCCCATTCCTCTGACCCTCTGGAGAACCCCAGAGCAGTAGCCTACCACTATTCAAAGGGTGAGAGAAAGGAATAGAGGGACCAGATTGACTTTGGAGTGTCTATTAGGACATGAAACTGTCCCTGGGCTGATGTCAGATGAACCCTGTATGTCCTGAGTCCAGCAGGGAGGCCGGTGTGTTATCCTTGCTTGGTCTGATGAAGGGCTGAGCCTGAGTCCTGGGGAAGCTTGGTGGCCCTGGTGTTGGATATGGGGATTGGGTTGGGGTGAACAGAACTCTGCCTTTATCTTGGCTTCTTCTCCCACCTGCCCTTGCCCAGGTGTGCCAGAAGGCTGGGGAGATTTCCCTTCTGAAGCAGCAGCTGAAGGACTCGCAGGCTGATGTATCCCAGAAGCTGAGTGAGATTGTGGGTCTGCGCTCACAGCTTCGGGAGGGCCGGGCCTCACTGCGGGAGAAGGAGGAGCAGCTGCTCAGCCTGAGGGACTCCTTTGGCAGCAAACAGGCCAGCCTGGAGTTGGGTGAAGGTGAGCTGCCTGCCACGTGCCTCAAGCCTGCACTGACCCCCGTGGACCCTGCTGAACCACAGGAGGCACTGGCCACCTGCGAAAGTGATGAGGCCAAGATGCGTCGTCAGGCTGGGGTGGCAGCTGCTGCCTCCTTAGTTTCCATGGATGGGGAGGTGGATGCTGGAGGGGAGAATGGGACACGGGCCCTAAGGCGGGAGGTAGGGCGGCTGCAGGCTGAGCTGGCAGCAGAGCGGAGAGCCCGGGAGCGCCAGGGCGCCAGCTTTGCAGAGGAGCGCCGCGTTTGGCTGGAGGAGAAAGAGAAGGTCATTGAGTATCAGAAGCAGCTGCAGTTGAGTTATGTGGAGATGTACCAGCGCAACCAGCAGCTGGAACGGAGGCTGCGGGAGCGTGGGGCAGCAGGGGGTGCAAGCACTCCTACCCCGCAACATGGTGAGGAGAAGAAGGCCTGGACCCCTTCCCGCCTTGAACGCATTGAGTCCACAGAAATCTGATCCTCCACCTGGGCACGTGGCCTTCTGACAAGTGCCCTGTCTCAAGGCCAGAGTCCCCAGCCTCCCCTCCCTTCCATTTCCCTTCCCAATGTGCCCCATGTCCCCAGACCAAAGAGGTTCTTAGAGCAGCTGTGACAAGGCTCCTCCCTGCCCCCTCGCGCCCTCCCAGTTCCAGTACTGCCCCTGTGGGTAGCCACTCGGACCCTCCTCTTAAGGAGAGAATGGGGAAAGGGCAGAGTGCATAGGGATGAGAGCCCAGGCAGCAGGGAGCATGCCCCCTTTCTGGGCAGCCTCTTGTTGGAGATGGAGGCAGCAGGCCTGCAGTGCCATAAGATGCCCCAGACCCTCAGGGAGTCTGGGCTGCTGTTGTTGGCCACTTGTGTCTAGTGATGCTTTCTGTGCTCACTTCCTAGGCCGTGGAGCCTGAGGGGGCCTGCACGGGTCTGCCAAGGCCGACAGACCCTGGGCTCCTGGCCTCTCTCCTTCCTGTGGTGTTATCCCTCCCTGGGCAGATTGGCAGGACAAGTAGGAGCAGATGGCCTGCCTGTGTGGTTGAGAGGGCTACCTGCCCAGCCCCTCCCCCGTAAGGTCTCTTGGGTTTAGGCCTCAGAACCTGGCCTGGCCCTGAGTGTGTATTCCCTCTGTGTTGGGCTGGAAGCTCAGTGTCCAAGGGAGATCTTTCCTCGTGTTCTTGCGAAAGGTCATCTGGAGGTTTCTACCTTCACCCTTCTGGCCAGGATCCTGCAGGGCAAGAGCCCCAGATGCTTGGCTTATCCCACACCCAGGGCCACTGTCGGCTCTAACTACAGCTATTAAGTGCTACCTGCCTCTCAGGCACTCCCCTTGCCCAGCTTCTGAGGTCAGATGAGTGTCTGTGGTGTCTTCCTGTGTCTTCCCTCACTCACTTCCCCCAGTTTCCTGCTTTCATGCTCAGAACATCATCTTCCCAGGCTGCCTCTTCCCCAGAGTCTCACTTTTCTTCTAGTAGAAAATTCTGCTTGATCTTTGGTGCACTGCCCACTTCCCAGCTCCACTGGCCCAAGTCTGAGCCCGAGGCCCTTGTTTTGGGGTGCCAGGAGGGTTGGATGCAATTGCGCTTGAAGAACAAGGCTGACCTAAGAGAACACTAACCTCTTGGTTCCTTGTCAAGCTCTGAGTTGGCTCAGCATTTGCCCAGGGAGGCCTGGCATGGCCATCAGTAGGAGTTGGGACAGCCAATGTCATTTCCTTCTCTGGTGGCTCTCTTAGAATCTAATTCCCCAAGATAGGAAGGGAACTTGTAATTTCCCTTCTAAGAAAGCAAATTTCTAATTCACCAGCAATAAAAATCAGAGGAGGCTTGGCCCTCAGCCCTTGTATTTCTCTCTTTCACTCTTCTACCCCCAAGAGTTTGGGGGTAGGGTGGAGAGAGCTGGCAACTACTGTGAGCAAGTCCCCCAGTCCCTGACCAGCCTCCTCCCATGACTGGTGACTGTTTAATGAGCTGTGCATCCCCCACAAAAACAGGAGTGCCCTTCTATGTGGCCTCTAACCCTCTGCACAGCCTTTTCTGGATGGTCCTCACCAGCTCTTTGAGCTACATGTGAGGCCACCCTGGCAACCACTGCCCATCCCACTCACCTCTCACTGTACCTGCCCCGGAACCTGGGCCTGGGCCACAGGGGCTGGGAAAAGAAGGCATTAGTAGGGGGAAAATAAATAAATAAATATATATATATATATATATATATATATATATATATATATATATATATATATATATCAGACTCAGCTTTGGGATGTCCAACCACAAAATAAATTATATATAAATATATATCTACCATATGTGATGGAAAGACTTTTGTTTTCCTTTCCCAAAGAAATAAAATGGAGAAAGCCTCTTGAATGGCATTCTTGTGGCCTGCTTGTGTCTGCAGGTGTGGGAGGTGAGGTCTGGAGGGTTGGGAAATGGGGAGGACAGRGCTGGAGTAAACATTTCCCAGAGGAGGAGGCACGAGACTAGAGTTGCTCACCGGACCATGCCAGGATGTTGGCCCAAAGCCCAGACTTCTCCACATTGCCCAAGAGGAGTCATAGTTCCATGATTTTGCCCAGTGGGGCTTTCTCTTCAGCTAAGACTGTCATTTATAAAGGGTTTCAAAGTAGCCTTCAGATTCTGGACACCAGGCTGCTGGTCAGAAGGTAGGCAATGCAGGTTGCAAGCTGTAGTCTTCAGTCACTTGATCCACCTTACGGTGATTGGTGATGGTTGAGGGCATTGAAATGAAAGCTAAAAAGCTAGGAGTATAGCTCAGTGATAGAGCACTCGCCTAGCATGCATGAAACCCTGGTGTTTGATTCCCCAACACACATGGTGCGCACACACACATAAGTTGAAGGCTGAGAACAGATTTGCAGTTAATGGCAAAAGGTACCCAAGCATGTGGCATAGCAGTAAGCTATCCTTTTATAATTCCTTCTGTCCTCAGAGAACCCACAATTAATACATCTTGCTGAGCCAGATGTGGTGGCACATACCTGTAATCCCAGCAACTCAGGAGGCTGATGCAGGAATCATAAGTCTGAGGCCAGCCTCAGCAACTTAACAAGATACCATCTCAAACAAAACAAAACAACAAACAAAAAAATTTTAAAAGGGCTGGGAATGTAGATTAGTGGTAAAGCAGCCCTGGTTTAATCTCCATATTATTTTTTTWAAAAAAAGGAATGCATTTTGTTATATGTAATACAACCTGACTTACAGGACTTCAATAAGTGGTTTATTTTTTTCTCATCAGATAAGAAGTAAGGATGTGGGTATCACAGGTGGAAGTGGAGGTTCATCCATCATGGTGGACCTACACTTTTTTTCTTCCCACTCTCCCATTCTAACTTAGTGTTTCCTCCTTGCCACAAGGTGGCTGCCCAAACCCAAGCTTTAGTTTTGCCTTCGCAGAACATTGTCAACACCCTTCCCTTTAAATCTTGTTGGCCAGAAATGAGTCACATGCTCTTCCCACTTTAAGGGAGACTGGGAAATTGAGTTTTGGCAAAGGCGCTTGGGACTGGCACAACTGCCCTGGAGCAATTATGGATCACTCCCTGGGGATGGACTTCCTCTCGTTTTTGGATTCTGCTGCCAAAGCCAGAGTTGTAATCAGCAGCTAACAGTTTTCCTTGGTTTGATCTGTTGAAAGAATGCCCCCTAAGCAGTGGTGCCAGTAGTCTGAGTTCCCAAATGTTCACACCTAGGCAAAGCTCAGGAGTTGGGATGCCATGCTTGCTCCTCCTTGCAAGGTTATGTCTTCTCTACATTTGTTTTGTCTCCCTTGCAAGTTGGTGCCCTGGAGGGAGCATGCTTTCTCATATCTCTTCACAGCACTTAAGATGACTGAATCAGTAGCTCGGGCACTGATAAGATACAAAGAACCTGATCAGCTGCTCTCAAGTGCCCTCAGGAATGGCAGTCTGGGGCCAGGCCCTCCTGACAAGTAGAGGCTTGGTAGAGTTTCTTTTTTGCCTAAGATTTGTGCCCAAATCGATTCAGGTATGAGACCCTTATTAAGGGAAGTGTAATATCACCTGGGTTCAAGTTTTAGCTATTCAACAGCTCTTCTCTCCATCACTAAGTCTTCTCTTGAGAGCACTTTGCAGATACATTTCTATTATAAATGCCCTATTACCCTCATTGTACAGATGAGACACTAAGAGAGTTTACATGAATTCCCCAAGGCCATAAAACCCTGAACGAGGTCCTGAGAGTCGAAACTGACTATGCTGCTCAATTACTTCCAGAGCGATTCATTCGGGAAAGTATTTTCCCTCGGCAGGTCTTAGATTCCCTCATTCTCCTCGTCAAAAGCCTCCAGTGAAAAATGTCCTTGGAAAACTCTGACAGAGGTTTTTGAGCCTCAGCCGCACCCGTCGCTCGCGCAGCAGGCGGAAGTAGCGGGCAGTTGGCCGGAAGTTGGGCTGTGAGGCCGAGTACTGCCGGAGGAGTAAGTGTGTTGCTGCGGCGGGCGGGCTTCAGAGTCTGGTGTTGCGCTGCCCGCCTTCACCAGGTTCAGGTGAGTGGTGGCGGTGGCCCGGGAAGATGTCACGGCGGCCGCTCAGTGTGCCTGCGACCGACTTCGCTTTCGGCTGTGCCTCCTGCCCTTCAGGTCCGCCCAGGGCTTGCGTCAGTCGAGGCCCTGGTCAGCGCTTCCCGGCCAATGCGCGGACGACTCTCAGAGGATCTCCTCTGGAGAGAACCTCGGCGACCCTCGCCACTCCGGAGTTCTTTGACCTTGGGCAGGAGACCGCAACCTTGATTCCCCCCTCCCGGGTGAAAGGAAGATTCCAACAGTACGTGCCTCCTAGAGCTGTTGTGAGAATGTAGTGAGACCTTCTGGCGTGCCTTTCATCCTCACTTGGAGATAGCAGGTTCGGGGTGGGGCCTGAAATTCTTTTTCTAACCAGCTTCCAGCAGACCACGCTTCGATTAGCCAGGCCTTAGAGTATTTTGCTTAGAACTTGATTGGGGTGGGGTGAGTCTTAAGTAAGTACCAGTTTGATATATGCCTTTTTCCCATTTTAGCAGAGAGTTTCTGGCTGTGCAAGCCTAATTCAGAGTAGTATTGTTGTCCCTCCCTCTTTTCTTTCCAGGGACAGGAAATAATTGATCTTTTTTTTTTTTGTTTTTGTGCATATCATGACAAAGCTTCTCTGACCTGACTGAGCAGGTACCCGTATACCAGGTGCAAACCTTGGGCTTCTCAGGTGGCACTTCATTGCTTACTCAGTGTAGACCGATTGACAGTGTTTCATCCTGTGGAGATCATAGCTCAATGCTTTAGTATTAACAATGGCTGGTGTTTTTGTGCTCCAATCATGTTTTCTGCAGTTTGGGCACACTGTTAAGTAGTAACAGCTGGCTTTGCACTTAATAGCCCTGAATGGCCTTGAGCAATCCCGTGAATGATTTACTCCTGCCTGGTGGACCAAAATAAAATATGAAAACACTGCTGTATCATACAGCTGAGAGAGTGAGTCCTGAATAATGCAAGACTGATATTCATTTTTCTGTGTGGTTTTCTTTTCTGTTTAGTGTTTTTTTTTTTTTTCTGATCTCTAACAAGGCCTTGCCATTCATCATGTAAATAATCAAGTTTGATATAAAAGAATTTTGAAGTTCCTCATTTGCCTGACTAAAAAGCATAAGCAAAACATTGCAAATTGGAAAACCAGGTAAGACCAAGCATGCACTAACAGTAATAGGTACTCAGGCCATTTATTTGGGAATTTTCTTTCATGACTTTGTGGGTACTTCTTTTTACGTGCCTTGATTTCCTCTTTTCTCTGGTGGACACAAATGTCTGTTCCCTGTTGTTATGGAGATTTCTTTTCTTTCTTTCTTTTTTTTTTTTTTGAAAAGTCCATTCATAAAAACTTTTATTCCACTTACATGAGGAGAGAGTTTCTAAAAATAGGGTCTTATGAAATTCTTTGAAAGAAGTGACTCTGACAAGATCATCTGCATCTTTGTCAGACTATCTCTACCCACACCCTTCTTGCCATTCTGATAGAAGAGTAGTGGTATCTTAGAAGGCCAGGGAGGGCTATAAAAGGCAAAAAGGTTTCACAGATGATTTGATGTGCTAATGTCTCTCCTATAAGCACTAGAACTAGAACAAAAAGGAGGGGATGGGTTGCTAGACTTGATTTTGATTTGGCTTATCTTAGTGGATAATACTTAACCTTAACCTAGACACCTTCTTCGCACTAACTCTTAACCTTCTTTCTACTAGTAGACCCTTCTCTTGTAGGCCTTGCTCTTGTACAAAAACAGAAGTGCAGAAAAGTCTGGCTCAGTTAATATCCTCCTTAACAGCTGAGTGTCTTTACTGTCTACCTGTAAGCCCTGACTGGGAGCTTTTAAAGCTTTGGAGGCTCTCAGCAGTAGGATTCACCTAGAGAAAGTTAATTCTTTGCTTTTTGGTTGCTCAACAAATAATTTGCTGARACAAAAATGGGGTTGGTGGCTGGGAATGTAGCTCAGTGGTAGAATATGTCTTTTTGCTTTTTGGTTGCTCAACAAATTATTTGCTGAGACAAAAATGGGGTTGGTGGCTGGGAATGTAGCTCAGTGGTAGAGTATGTCCCTAACATGCGTGAAGCCCTGGATTCAATTCCTAGCACTAAGGGAAAAAAATTTTTTTTAAAGGTGATGGTGGTGGCATTGGAGTATTCATTATTTATGGTGATTTTATTGGTACTTAGGAAGATCTTTTCCTTTCTAGGAAAAGAATGAGAATTGATGGACTGGGGTTGTGGTTCAGCAGTATAATGCTTGCCTAGCACATGTGAGGTGCTGGCTTTGATCCTCAGCACCACATAAAAATAAATAAATAAAATAAAGGTATTTTGTTCAACTACAATTTAAAAAAATATATTTAAAAAAAATAATGAGAACTGAGGGGTAAGATCTGGCAACTGGTAAACTGTATATGCTGAGAGTGTCATATATTTAATCTACAGTTAGCTTGGCTGCCTTCTTCTACCTGGCTCCCTTTTTCTAACTTCTCGACCATAGTTTAAAATGAAGCTTTTTGGCCTTGCTCAGACTTGTACCTGGAAGATGGAAAGGTAAGATTCCTCACCCTTGTAAAATCACATCATTCAGGGTGGTTTGGGCAGTGCCTTTTGGAAATGTCAGGGTCTAAGGTCTCTAACGATCCACTCTAATTCAGTATGACTCCTAAAGAAGAGATGAGGGGCTGGGGTTGTAGCTCAGTGGTAGAGCACTTGCCTAGCATGTCTGAGGCACTGGGTTCGATTCTCAGCACTACGTATAAATAAATGAATAAAATAAATGTCTAGCAACATCTAAAAAAATATTTTTTTAAAAAAGGAGATGAAGCCGCATACAGTGGCATATACCTGTAATTCCAGTGTTTCAGGAGGCTGAGGAAAGAGGATTGCAAGTTTGGGGCCAGGCTTGGCAATTTAGCAAGATCCTATCTAAAAACAACAACAACAAAAAACACTAAACGGGCTGGGGTAAAGTGCCCTAATACTGGGAAAAAAGACTGTTTTAGGTGATGGCACTCATTTGTGTAACCATTCACTCTGTTGAATATTTGTGTGTACTTGTGTCTGTCACAAACATACCATGCAAACCAGCCTCTTCCTACTGGATGGACATTTGACTTGTTTTCAGTTTTTATATGGATATTTTGTTAAAAATCAAAAAGAGAAAGTTTTTTTTTTTTTTTAAGTTATGTCTATGAAGGATCTCTAAAGAATTCAGAGGAGATGAAGGACTATAGATTTAATGTGTATAACTTTTAGTTTCATACAGTGTTGGACTAAATTTAAATTCCAGGTCTCAAGCAGGTTTTCTTAAAGGCCCTGTTCTGTCAACTAGAGCATTCTATTACCTGTTTTGTCTTTTATTTCCTTCATGCCTGTGCTACCCTGTTGAGATTCTTAGTGACTATTTTAAGGCATATAAATCCTCTTTTTTTTTTTTTTTCCTGGTGGTGCTGGAGATTGAACTCAATTCCTCACGCATGCTAAGCATGTGCTTTATCACTGAGCTACATCCCCAGTCCTTTTTATTTTTTGAGACGGGGTTGCTTACGGCTGCTCTTAGTTGCTGAGGCTGGGTTTGAACTCATGATCCTCCTGCCTCAGCCTCCTGAGTTGCTGGGATTATAGGCATGCGCCACCACCCCAGCACCTATGGACTATTTTTGCCTACCAAGAGATTCAACCTAGAGTCAGATACTATAGATTCAGATTTGGCAATCTACCTCTTGAAGTCCCAAATTCTGCTTGAAGAAGCCATAGTACTGCAAACAACAACAACAACAAAACAAAACAAAGCCCAAACCAAACCAATAAAACAGCAGCCAACTGTATAAAGATGTACTGTGAAAGATTTCTGCTATAGTTCACAAAGAAAGAAATTAAATACATTCCTGCCACCAAGAGAAGCCTGTGTAGTTTGCCTACCATAATAGCCACTGGCCTGCCTTATAGTTGTGGTTCTTATGCTATGGGCTCTGGAAGAAAGGACCTGACAGCAGAATTGGGCAGACATTTCAGAAAGTCATTCTGACCCCCTGAGAGCCCTTGTGGAATTTTCTGCAACCCTTGTGGAATAGCCTTATGTGCTCCATGAGTTGGCAGCTCAGATCTCAGTTTTTGCTTATTAGGCTTTGGCACCTAAATGGAAAGAAAGAATAACTATTAAGGAAAGCAAGAGTATGGCAGAGTCAGTTTCATAGCCTCTATGATTTCTGCCATGGAAGAAAAATGAAAATTGTACTGTTTACAGGCAGAGTAAGGATATAATCAGCACTTGATTCAGTACTTGTCTCAGTAGAAGCGTTGCCAATCTGCCTTTATCATAGGAAAGCTGCACTGCTCCCCCACATGGTAGCCAGGTAGTATGGTAAAATGATGTTCCCTGAACTCTAAGCCCTGCTTAGAGTTCATTTTTTTTCTTTTTTAGTAGTATTGGGGATTGAACCCAGGGCCTCACACAGTTAGGGAAGTGCTCTGCCACTGAATCACTCCTAGCTCAACATGAATTTCTGAATATACTTCCTGGCTGAACAACTACTTTGCACTAGTGATTCAGATTCTCTTACAAGCCCCCTGGTGCTTAGCACAGTGGCCCATGGATTGAAGGTTTGAAGCCAGCCTGAATAATGTAGTGAGACTCTGTCTCAAAAAGGGCTGGAGATGTAGCACAGTGGTAGAGTACTCCTTGATTCAGACTCTAGAACTAAAAAAATCCTTCTGGAGATAACAGTCACCATCTTCTGAAAGGTATAGGCATAGTGTTAGAATAACAGAATTTTGTAATTAAAAGTTTGAATTATAAGAATTGGGAGTGTTATTTTGTGTATAAGTTAAATCTTATACCAAATCCCACTTTTTCCTTTATGCATGGCAGTTTTTATAAACTTTCTGTTCTCCAAGTGTGATCTTTCTGTGTTGATATTAAAGAGATGGAATGATTGCTTACTTTCACTCCCAGCTTTCTATTGAATGTTAGTAGAGCACCTGTCTTCTCTAGTTGTCACTGCTTCTCTTCTGAAAGGAAGAAAGTGTGGACTGAACAGCAGTCTAGGAACTACTCTGGTACCCTGGGTTTGGGGTTTTTCTCTGCCTTTATTCAAGGTACACAGTTTATCTTTGATAGCATTCTGTTTTGTTGTTTGGGCATTCACTAGCAGTAGACTAACTTGAGTGGATAACAGTGTGGTTTGACTCTATTTCTTATAATGTATAAATTTTGGTTATGTGATAGGTGGAAGCCACTCATTCTTCATCTACCCTTTTTTCAGTATCTGGCACCAATTCGGGCTGAGTCATTTGTGAACCGTGACTCTTGTGATATGCCGAAGATTCCAGGCAGTTTCTGTGGAACATCTCCCCGTCCAGCTCTAATCAAGCATCATATAAACAAGAAATTGTTTGGTCAAACCTGTGAGGACTGTGCTCTGACTGCCAAAAAGATCAGTACTGACATCAGAATGGCAGCTACTCTCAAATTATTAAAACCTTTAAAATATCAAGCATTTCGCGATTCTTTTGCCTACAGTGCCACCCAAAGTGTGGCATATTGGAATATGGGAAGCAATATACGACATAGGGGAAAGGCCCCTCCTGAGCGTAGTAGTTCCTGCCATCCTGCCAGAAAAGTTAAGAACGTTGGTAGTGGCACCTTTTCTCAGAGGGTCTTCACAATCAGCCATGCCTTTCTGGGTTTGGAATTCAGCAAAGCTTCTACCTCTAAAGCCAGGAAGTTGCAGCTGGACTCACCCAGGACTATGAAAATTGATGAAGAGGATGTAGAAGTTTTTGATTCCTTTGAAGGCACCCGAGTTTTCCTACAGCTAAGGCCAGAATACCAGCTTCACAGCTATAACAGATCTGAGACTTGTCAGCCCCTCTCTGTTTCAGAAGGCGAACTAATTTTGCACAAAGTCACAGTTTATCAAAGTAACCTTCAACCTCAAATCATTGCTGATTATTTCTGTAAGCTGAGCTCTTTGCCTACAGAACAGCATCCTGTTTTGCTGACAAGTACCAGCTTTGCTCTGCTCTGCCAATTGAGTGTGAAAAATATACAAGTCTTTGATATTCCAGATCTAATCAGTATTTTGAAAGCCTTTGTTAGTTTAGGAATTCCTCACTCTCATTCAATGCTAGATGTGTATGAAACCAGGTTTTGTCAACAGGTATGGGAGATGAGTCTGAATCAGCTTCTCTTGGTGGCTGATCTCTGGCGGTGCTTAGGTCTCAGAGTACCTCAGTTTTTAAAAATTTTTTTTAGTTACCTTAATTTGCACTGGAAAGATCTATCCTTGTCCCAGCTGATTCACTTAATTTATATTATAGGTGAAAGTCGACAGGTGCCTCAGGACCTAATGCAAAAACTGGAATCATTGATCCTTAAGTATATAGATTTGATCAACTTAGAGGAGGTTGGTACAATCTGTTTGGGATTCTTTAAGTCAAGTAGTAGTCTCTCTGAATTTGTAATGCGGAAACTTGGAGATTTGGCTTGTGCTGACATGGAGCATCTGAGTAGTCATGCCTTAGTGCATATTCTTAAAATGTTCAGATTCACTCATGTGGATCACGTAAATTTCATGAAGCGCTTTGGAGAGATAGCTCCTCAGCGAATTCCTTCCCTGGGGGTTCAGGGTGTTATGCACCTGACTCTTGCCTGCTCAGCTTTACACTTTCTGGATGAAGGAGTAATGAATGCCGTGGCTGCTTCTTTGCCTCCTAGAGTAGTGCACTGTCGCAGTAAAGATATTGCCAAAATTCTGTGGTCATTTGGAACTCTGAATTATAAGCCACCCAACACAGAAGAATTTTATTCTAGCCTGATCAATGAAATTCACAGAAAGATGCCTGAATTCAACCAATATCCAGAACACCTGCCCACCTGCCTGCTGGGTCTAGCATTTTCGGAGTACTTTCCAATAGAGCTTATTGATTTTGCTTTGAGTCCAGGGTTTGTCAAGCTAGCTCAGGAGAGAAGTAAATTTGAACTCACCAAGGAACTGTATACTCTTGATGGTACAGTTGGTGTTGAGTGTCCAGATTATAGAGGCAGTCGTCTTAGTTCTTACCTTCAGCAAGAGGCATCTGCTAAGCTTTGGAATTTAGCAAGGAAAGATATGAACTCAAAGCCTGAATTCCTAGAAGCTCTCTCTTTACTTGAGACCATGTTGGGCGGCCCCCAGTACATCAAGCACCATATGATTTTGCCTCATACTCGGTCTTCTGACTTAGAGGTCCAGCTTGACATTAACATGAAGCCATTACCATTTAATAAAGAAGCCATACCAGCTGATGATGTAGCCGAATTAAGGCTTAAGCATGTAGGAGTCAGCCTTACAGATAATTTGATGAATCAGTTGCTGAAAGGGAAAGCAAGAGGGCATTTCCAGGGGAACAGTGAGTCAGAGACTTTGCAGCAGCCTGTAAAGTCAGAGAAGGAATCCTTGGGGAACTTTCTTTCCAATATGGCAGGTAGATTGGGAGCTGTGGAGATGGCTGGCCTGCATCCCTCAGCCCATGTGCAGGCCCCACCAGTGAAGCTGGCTATTCAGCTGACGAACAGGAACCAATATTGCTATGGTTCCAGGGATCTGCTTGGACTGCACAATATGAAGAGGCGGCAGCTGGTTCGGCTTGGGTACCATGTGGTAGAATTATCCTACTGGGAATGGCTCCCACTACTAAAACGAACTCGTTTAGAGAAGCTGGCTTTCCTCCATGAGAAAGTGTTCACTTCTGTTCTCTAAAGGGCTTTCATGGGTATTTTTACTCTAAACTGTTGGTGTACAGGTTGAGCATCCCTAATTTGAAAATCCAAAACGTTCCAGAATCTGGAACTTTGAGTACCACCATGACATTAACTTTGGATTTTAGACTTTTGGATTAGGGATATTCAAATGGTAGTCTATGCAGATATTTCTTAATCTGAAGCAACTCAAAGTCTTTCTTGTCTCAAGCTTTTTTTTTTTTTTTAACTAGGAACTGAGCCAGAGGCTCCACATTCCRACCCTTTTTTTTGTTGTTGTTGTTTTGAGACAGGGTCTTGCTAAGTTGCTTAGGACCTCTCTAAGTTGATGAGGCTAGCTTTAAACTTGCTATTTTCCTGCCTCAGCCTCCCCAGCCACTGGGAATACAGGTGTGCGTCGCTGTGCCCAGCCTGGTCCCAAGCATTTTGAATAAAATCATACTCAATTTATACAGCAAAATAATTATAAAAGCCAGAATGTAAATTTAGTAATAAAATCATCTGTTGAAGAGAATTAATCATGGTGTTATCTGTTACAGATTGAGCTAATATATGTTAACTGTGAATTAATTGTGACCTGTAGCAGTAATGTTATTGCTAATTTGTGCATATTACTCTTAGTAAGTAATAAACATTTTAAAATGTCCATGGTCTAGTAATTCCTATTGCAGTTTTTATTTCCTTCTTTCTTTTTTTTAAAATATTTTTTAGTTGTAGGTGGACACAATACCTTTATTTTATTTTTGTATGGTGCACAGGATTAAACCCAGTGCCTCAAGCATGCCTGGCGAGTGCTCTACATCTGAGCCACAACCCCAGCCCTCCTGTTGCACTTTGTTTACTAGCCTTATGTCTCAGTTATTTTAAACTTTTAGAATAAAAATTTAGGTATTGTCTAAAGCCAATTTTTATAAAAGTAGTTATCATATTCTTTGTTTTAAAGAAGAATCACAGCTTTACTTACATTTCAGGACTTTACCTCTGTGTGTGTTCTTCACAGTCTAAAATGAAAGTTCTCATTTTTGTTTAGATTTGATTGGTTATCCTTAGTTGCTTGTTCTTCCAATTTCAGAATTGGAGTTAATATCTTCTTCTTAGCTCCCTATTCCACATTTCTACACTTCTTGCATAAACTCTTCTCTCCAGGCCTCCCATATTTTCTTCTTAAAATTGGACCTAGAAAAATAGAATTATATAAGAGCCTAAGAGGCCAGTAGTTCCCAAATCTGATGCATGTTTTTCATGGCAAGTAGCCCAGATGGGAAGAAAATGAGTTACCTTTCAAATCAGGTAGTCCCATGGACAGGTTTTGTTGATTCCTTTTTGCTTATACTAGAGTCACCAACATAGAGATTTTCTGTGTAAATAACAATATAAGTAATTTTAGTAAACACTTGGGGTCTGTGAAAATTTCTTTCAAAAGGGATCACTCTGGACTACAGATGTAGTTCAGTGGTAGATTGCTTGCCTACCATGTATGAGGTTTGATTCCCCCACACTGCAAAAGAAAGAGGGATCCCTCCTCCTATTGTTAAGGTCTCTCAAAGGTCACTTCTTCAGAGAAGATTTCTCACTCTGACCAACAGCACTTCAGTCTTTTTTTCATTTTTTTTTTCCATATTGATGATTCAACCCAGGGGCATTTTACCACTGAGCCATATCCCCAGCCCTTGTTATTTTTGAGACAGGGCCTCAGTTACTGAGGCTGGCCTCAAACTTGGGATGCTCCTATTTCAGCTTCCCAAGTAGTTGGATCATAGGCATGTGCCCTCATACCTAGCTCCATTGGCTTTTGATCATGATCTGTCAAACATGCTATTTTGCTTCATTCAGTTATTAGCTCACATTGGGTTTTTTTTGTTGTTGTTATTGTTTGGATCCTTTAGAATTTTCTGTATGTCAGCTCATGTTGTCTGAACATAGAGATAGCTTTATGTTTCTCTTTCCACTTTGGATTTCTTTTTCTTGCCTGATTGCTTTGGCAAGAACTTCTAGTAAGATAAAGAATAGAATTGGTGAAAGTAGGTATCCTTGTATTGTTCCTTGAATGCTTTCAATTTTTCACCAATTATTTTTTTTAATATTTATTTTTTAGCTTTAGGTGGACACAGTATTTTTATTTTATTTTTTATGTAGTGCTGAGGATCGAACCCAGTGCCTCACACATGCCAGGCGAGCACACTACTACTTGAGCCACATCCCTAGCTCCAACCTTTCACCAATTATGATGTTAGTTGTGGGTTTTTTCATAAACCCTTTATAATGTTGAGGGAGTTCCTTTTATTTTTTGTTCCTACTTTTCTGAGTCTCTAATAAATTATTTTAGTTTGTGACCCAAATAGTACATGTGATCTCTCTCTCTCTCTCTCTCTCTCTCTCTCTCTCTCTCTCTCTCTCTCTCTCTCTCTCTCTCTCTTTCTCTCTCTCTTTCTCTCTTTCTCCTTGAAGTACTGTGGGTTGAATTCAGACTCTCAGATTCTCTATCACTAAACTATATCCCCAGTACTTGTTATTTTTCTATTTTGAGACAGGTTCTTGCTAGGTTGCCCAGGCTGGCATTGAGCTTGTGATCCTCCTACCTCAGCTTCCTGAGTAGCTGGGATTATAGGTGTGTGTCTCTGCACTGGGTGGGACATTTCTTATACTTAAAATAATTCATTGTTTTGCTGAAGTTTGGGCTTTTTCTTGTGTGTGTGTATATGTGTGTGTGAACAGGTAGTGTCTGAGGATTGAATCCATGGATGCTTTACCACTGAGCTACATCCCTAGTCCTTTTTTTTTTTTTTAAATATTTATTTTTTTAGGTGTAGATGGACACAACACAATGCCTTTATTTTTATTTGGTGCTGAGGATCGAACCCAGGTCCCGCCCGTGCTAGGCAAGCGCTGTACCGCTGAGCCACAATCCCAGCCCCCATCTCTAGTCCTTTTTATTTTGAGATACAGAATTGCTGAATTGCTAAGGCTGACCTTGAATTTGGGATCCTCCTGCCTCAGTCTCCCATGTTGCTGGGATTATAGGTGTGTGTCACCATTCCCGGCTGAAGTTCAGGTTTAGGTGAACAGTTTTTATTTGTTAAATCTGGCAACCCTAAAGCATAGCATCAAGACAGGTTTTATTTGGGTGGGGTGGTGGTGGTGGTGGTGCATAGAATAGACTTGAATGAATGATTGCATTTGTTAAAAATAGAGTACTATAATTGGAGATAGTTGAAAATTCAGGAGGGAGATAAGACTCGAAATTAGGTCCTGGAGGAAAGGGACCGGATTAAGGTCAGGTTGATTGTAGAGCCTGGCCACCTCACCTGAGATCCCATAGAATTTCCCTGACATTGTTATTAAGGCAATTCATTGTATATCTTGTTTTGAGTCTGAATCTTTTAAAAGAAAAACATGTCCATTTGTGCCTCATTTTGATGCTGTGGTTTGCTTAAGAGTAAAAACTGTATGCATGGGCTAAGGGTATAACTTAGTGGTAGTGTGCTTGCCTAATATGCATGGACACAGAAATGTCCATTTGTGCCGAGCATAGTGCCTCAAACATAAACCCTTAAAGGTGACTTAGGTACATGTGATATAAAATTGCAGGCATCTTTTAGACCCCTGCCTGTGTTCTAGTTCTCTCACTGGTGGGCAACAGTCTTTCAGTTTAACCAACTCTAAGAAAAATGCATTTAAGTCAAATTTCATGGATGGACAGGTGACTCAATTTAGAAATTATGAGAAGTATTATGTGTCTTTAAAAGCTGAAGTGCCCAATTTATAAAATTGCTCACTGTGTTAGTATTCCACCTACTCTATAAGGTTAAATGCTTTTCTCTTATTTGACAGGTAATCTTTTTTTCCCCCTCTGTATCCTGTTTGAGCTTAGTCTTTAAAAATATGTGTATCTGCCAGAATTATTTTCCATTTCTTTTGCGTGAAACTAAAAATCAGATTGTATAATTCAGCTATGGTAACTTTTTTGTAGGCCAAAGGAAGGTGGATGCTTAAATTTTCAAAAAGTGTCATGGTCACCTTATTCTCTTCCAAATTACCCCTCCATTCTTTCCCACCCCCAGGTTCTAAACTTCAACAACAACATCAAAAGGTTTGCTTCATTTCTTTAAGCTCCAGGGCATCACAGACAACAACCTTCAGGACGGAGTGACCAACTTGTCCCAGTTTGCCTGGGACTCTCCCAGCACTGAAAGTCACACATTTTGATAATCCCTTCGGTCCTGGGTAGATCAATACAGTTGGGCAGTTGACTTCTGACTCCTTTCTTGTTCTTTCCCTTACATTTTCCCTTCCTGAGCCTAAGTACAGAGAGGCAGGGAAGAAAGGTTTGTTCCATCTGGACATCCAGTGGCTATCAGCTGCCAAGAAATACCCAGAGCATATATTTTATTATCAGTCCTCCCTGATACCATCTGGAGACCTCAGAAATCCAGTGCATGTGTTTAACTATTTATAACAACTTTGTGTGTGTGTGTGTGTGTGTGTGTGTGTACTTGGGATTGTACCCGGAGTGCTTAATCCCTGAGCTACATCCCCAGCACTGTTTATTTTTTATTTTGAGACAGGGTCTTGCTAGGTTGCATAGGTCCTTGCTAAATTGCTGAGACTGCCCTCAAACCTATGATCCTTCTGCCTCGGCCTCCTGAGTGCTGGGATTATAGGCATGGCTACCACACCTGGTTAGTACTTAGAAGAATTTTAAACCCAAGAGAGGGGGAAAAAATCCCCCAACGTATCCCTCTAGTAGAGTATGACATGTTTAAACTTCTGCATGCCCACCATTACCTCCCAAACTATTCATGTACACATAGTCCTAGATACGGATTTTTCACAAATATATAATTGTAATACTCCCATAAACTTTCACTTATGGGCAACCAACTGTGTGTGATAGATTGAGACAGCTGTCTTTCATTTTAGCCAGCTCTAAGGATAATGTGAATAAGTCAAACATTTTATATGGATGAGTAAATAATTGAATTTAAAGATTTGTGTTCTTTTTCTTTGTTTTATGTATACTTTTGCATTTTTTAAATAGTCATGAATGACATGAATGATAATATCACTCAAATTTGTTTCTTACAATGTGAACAGTGGGCTTAACTGACGTCTTAAGGGACTTAGATATGGGTAAAGAACTTCAGGATTTCTGTGGTAATAACAGTACTTTGGGGTTGAGGGTGTAGTGCATTGGTAGAGTGCTTGCCTACCATTTGTGAGGCCCTAGGTTCTATTCCCAGCACTACCCAATAAATAAACAAAAAAGTATTTGACTTTATAAAATAAATGACTTTTTTTTTTTCTTAGTAGTACTGGTCATTGAACCCAGGGATGTT